GAAGAACAGGGCCATCGCCGTCCAGAGGATCCAGCACATAGTGGCCGCACCACTGGACAACTCCGACAGGGGCTCTCGGTCGGCTGTCGGTACGAGAAGATTTCGAAGTCTGAAGGCGAAGCCTCGAGTCAAAAGTGGCTACGGAGATCAGACCCGCCAGTATCTCGAGGCGTCGGGCTAGCATGGATTCGATGGCTCCACCTGGGTTGTCGTTCCTGTCGCTGAGGACCTGAGCTTGACGGAACGATCCTGAGGCCGATACCTTCTCTTGGCGGGCTCGCTGAGCCCCGGGCCCGAGGGAGAGGACAAGGAGAGCTGTGATAAGGAGCATTGCCAGGTACGCCGTAGAGAATCCCAACCGTCCAAGACTTCTCCCGATAGTAGCCCTACTCGTGCCCCTTCTTGACCTGGTCACCTGGTCCCTGGACAACTTGACCCAAGCCTGGAATTTCCTCTGGAGGCCCGGAGGGAGAGGAGAGACACGTACATCGCCAGTGTGCCGTCGGCCAGCATCCTCGGAGGCTTGCCATTACCAAGCATGAACGACTTCTCCGTGAGAAAAGGGTAGCGTCTGAGCGCCGCCGCCGGCACCTTGGCCGGCTGGTCCAAGGCTCGAACCACGTCGACCATGCGGTGACCAGAGCCCAGACGAGTCATAGCAATTGAAGTTTGCAAGGTGCTTGACCAGAGCTTGTTGTTGGGCAGGTCTACCACACTCTCGAGAAAATCCAGAAGATTAACGCTCAGAATGTGAGGCACCGTCTCTCCTAAGACTGTCGTGCCTGTGATGCCGAGCACTCCGCCCAAGCATAGAGGAACAAAAAACAGCACTGATCACCTTGGCAGGGCCGCCCACGCCGTGGGCTCGCCGGGCATGCACTCGGTGCTCGGGAGGAATCTCCACGTAGCGCAGCCCGTGTGTCGCCAACGCCTCCGACTCCTGATTGAGCGCCTCGAGGCCGATCAGGTCGGTGCCGGCGCCGGGGTCCACCAACCCCTGGGTGGCGGAGGCCGCGAGGTAGACTGAGTTCGTGGTGATCTCCTCCTCCACTTCCTGCCAGACAGCGCCCGACCAGTGAGTGCCGCCTCCGCTGCCACCGGAGGCCAGGCCGTCGAACATGTAGGCCGAGGCCCCTCGACGAGGTGGGGCCTTCTTGATGCCCGTCTTCTTCTTGATCGTCTCCTTCTTGGCACTGCCGACGTTGGGACACTCCCGGCCCCAATGGCCCTTCTCTTGGCACAACTTGCACTTGGTCACCTTCACGAACTGCTCCTGTGATAAGAATCGCCCTCTCCCTGGAGGCGCCCGCCGTCCTGCACCGCCTCCTCGTTCTTGTCGATCTCGTCGCGGTCGTCCTCCTCCGCGCCCGTCTGGACGAGCCTGGGGAGGAGCCGCGCTGCCCTGGGCCTTGGAGCCGAAGTACTCTCGGTCGCGCCGGGCAGCCCTCTTGAGGTCCTCGTTCTGCTTCCAGGAGCGATTGTTGGTGAGCTCGGCCATGACCAGCTCGACCTCGCCCTCGTTCACGTCCATGTCGTCGAACTCTGCGAGGATGGCTTCGACGTCCTGCTTGTCCAGCTCCTCGCTGTCCTCGTCACCCTCGTCGTAGTAGTCCTCTTCATCGTCTTCGACCGTGTAGTTACCTTCTGACCGACCGAGGTTAGGGGAGGAGGAGGAGAGCTGAACATCACAGCTGGCGTCGAAGCGCTTGGCCGCCCCGGTGCCCTCAGAAGACGTCGATGTCGCTAACAGTGCTCCAGGCCCTGCCTTGCCTTGCAAGAGCCGCTCGGTCCAGGTGGAGGAGTCGAGCTGACGCAGCGCCCACTTGACGCCGTCGTAGGAGAGGTCACCTCGAGTCAACGTTCGCAAGTTCTGAGCGCCCTGAGCCGTCAGGTGGGCGCCCTCCTCAAGAAACAATCCTTCAGCTTGTCCGACATCCGGAGGTTGTGACCTTCAGCCTCGATGAACTCCGCTTCCCGCTGGCTCACATACAGGGTCAGCGACTCCTTGGAGTCACGTACCGCTTGGTACAGTGCTTTGCGTCCAGCTCGACGCAGCTCGTCCCCTTCACGTTCTCCGATCATCAGGTCCATTATATCAAGGAGGGTCTCGAGCCAACCCGTTGATGTGAGCTGGCCGTCGGGCATGTCCTCGAACTTAGCCTGCATGGTCCACTCGAACAGTCTCAGACACTTCTCGGAGCGGCGCCACACCGCCACGTCGGTGTTGTCATTCCGCGGAGATCACGAAAGCAAAACCAATTGTCCGTCATTTCCCAAGGTTGTCCACTATCTCCATTTGTCTTCGTCATGGTCATGAGCGTGATCATCGAGAATGCAAGGAAGAAGTTGGACGAATACACCCTGAGCTCATTAGCTTCCAGTGACCTTGCGATCCTCCTATACGCGGACGACACGCTTCTGGTGGGTCGCTACGAAAGATCTATGCAGAAGATTCGTGATTCGATAGCAGCAGCAGGCAAAGAAGCCGGCATGGAACTACACTGGAAACAAACCATTTTTTGCCGTCAAGGTGCGATGTTGTACTGCGAGACCCCAGCGGCAACGTCTTAACCCTGCTGGACACATTCAATATTTGGGTGCACATATTTACGATACTGGGAGACTGAAGCAAGAACTCAGCCGCCGGCTTGGGGCAGCTTGGGGCGAGTTACAAAGATAGACAAGGGCGTGGGAACACACGTCGATCCGCATCTCAAGAAGATTGGAATTGTTTGGGGCACTCATCACGACCAAAGTCATGTATTCACTGAACTTTGCGTGGTTGAACAAATCAGGAAGGCGACGTCTTGATGGATTCCAATCACGGTGTCTCAGAAGTATTTTGAACATCCCGCACTCTTACATATCAAGGGTACCGAACATCACTGTTTTTGAAAAGGCAGACACAAGACCTTACAGCAACCAGCTGCTAAGACACCAACTTCTGCGGTTTGGACAAATCGGCCGCTGCAGAGAAGACGACGTGCTGCGGAAGCTAACGTTCCAACCGGGGAGCGCGAAACTTGTGCGGATTCTGTCAGACGGGCGCCCGGGCGCCCCAGGCATGAGTGGGCAAAGTGTCTGTACAATTTGATCAGCAGTAGTTTTGGCTCCGACTCTGCCCTGGTGGATTGCATGGCAGACGAACGAACGCGGCGTCAGTTTGCAACGCAGTTTGCGCTTGACGGCCGCACTGCACACTGACCTTCTTGCCCTGGCAGTGCACGGTTTCAAATGCCTGCGCGCCGAATGGCGTACGGCTTCTCGCTCGCTCGCTCGCTCGTCCGTGCTCGGACAGAGCGAATGTCGACGAGGAGCTCGGGATGCGCAGTTTGGACGCAGCCGCGGGCGCGCCCGCAGCTGCGCCAGGGAGCACAGCCGCGCGTCTCACTTTTGGGTCACAGGCACCCGGCGACTCGACGCTCGACCGCAGCTGGGGAAAAGGTCACCCCCCGCAGAGATCGGGAGGAAAAGGAGGAAGAGGAGGAGAAGGAAGAGGAGGAGGAGGAAAAGGAGGAGGACGGCGGGAAAGGTTAGGGCCCCTTGCCTGCAGGATCCCCAGTGCCCTTCATGGTGGCACTGGCGACGAGGGAGTCCCCGCTCTACGCTGCCGCTTCTGATTTGTTTTCCATGTCCTGCTTGGGCATGGCCTTGCTCGCGGTTTTGCCCGTGCCGCGCGCGGCTTTCCCGGCGGGCCAAGGAAGCATGCGCAACGCTCCTGTGCCCAGGATGGGCTTGGCCAGTTGTGGTCGATGTGTATAGCTTTCGTCGCCTTGCAACGCCACCGCATCTCACGCCGTCACCGCCAGCATCGTGCCTTCGCGTTTTTTTACTGTCTTGCTGGTGCCTGACTCTGGCGCTTGAGCGCGTTCGCGTGCGGCGCCCGGCTCTTTCCCGGTTCAGTGCGCCCACGCGGCAATCAGTATGGAGGTCGAACGAGTCATGCAGTGCACCAGGGCGCCTTGCACGACCGGTTCATGCGCCGTTCGAGCATTCTTTGCCCCTGGCTCGAAGGCCCAAGGAGGGGCTACGGCCCCACCCGCCGTCGCCTCCGTGGCGGAAGCGCTTCCGCACTCCCCGCGCGGACGAGGAATCGGCGACCACTTCGGCAGGAAAAAAAAAATGCATCAACAGGCGCCCAGGAGGTCCCAATAGGCCCCGCAGAGGCAGCCAAGACGTTCCAAGATGCCCCCAGGATTGCCAAGAGGCTCCCAAGACACCCCAAGACGATTCCAAAAACTTTCAAGATACATTCGCAGAGACTCAGAGAGGCATCGAAGAGGCGTCTGGCTTTTCTCATGCTCGCCCTCCTCCTCCTCCTCGCCCCCCTGTTCCTCATCCGTCTATTTCTCCTCGTCTCTCGTCCGTCCTCCCCCCTCCCCCCTTCCCCTTCCGATTCCTCGCCCATCCTCCCCAATTTGCGGCATGACGGCTTCCCCAACCCCTTGTTCCAGCGCGTGCTCCTCCGCATCCCTGATCAGGGCAGCTCGCTCGCGTATATTTGAGGGCTAATTTTGCGAAGCGTCTAGAATCACGCCCGTCCCCCGTGAGCCTCCCTCAGCTTCCCTCGCATCGACGAAAACGGGGATGTGCATGAAACGGGCATTTGACGAGATCTGCTGCATGCAGCTGGTGTCGGCCCCGCCGCCAGGCGTTTTCTTCGATACGCTGGCGCACCCGGCGCCCGGAGGCGCTGGGAAAGTCAGCTAGCTGAGTTGATCCGCAACTCTTTGAAAATACCCCTTTCGTCCAACTCCATGCCCCTGCTGGGGCTTCACTGTGTTGGGGGGGGTCCACTGTGCCAGACCTCGCGTGGGGCGTCGGTTTTGGTTTGCTCGGGAGGGAACGGCGTTGGCGCTCTTTTCCAACAAAAAAAAGGTGGAAGGGTCTTAAGAAGGAAATATTCCGAGAGCGATGTGTTCCGATGGAGGTGGCCAGGAAGGCTGTGGGCGGGACAAGGGCTGGCGGGCAGGCAGGAGTGGCGTCGTGGGGCGCGCGAGGTCCTTACCGTGAGCCACGTTATTGGCGTCAAGGACGCCGGCCGCCCGCTCGGCGCCGTAGCCGTCGAAGAACCCAGATCTCCGACGATATGATGCTTTCAGTCCCGGCATTTTTCCACTGGTTCCAGCCTCCAAGGCCCGTTCTCGGGCTCCAGGACCATCAAAGAGATGATATCCGGGGCGTGAAGCCAGCCGTTGGGAAGCGGTCGGACCTCTGGGGCCGCGGGTTGGAAAGATGTGACTGCGGATGAGGGGCCTCCCGGAGGCCTCCTGGAGGAGGCTCATGAGGGGCCTCCTGGAGGCTTCTCGTCGCCGCGGCTGGGTCCGGCTCGAAATGCGCATCGGGGTGACCCCCAGGGGGGTACGGGGGTTGACTCTCTGCCGATTTCGAGGGCTTCGCCGGGAAGCAAACGTCCTTGAGGGAAACAGGTCCTGCGGCGCTTCGCCGTCATAGGGTTCTCATGGCGAAAGGCTCGTCCTGGGGAAGGCCACAACACGTCTCTCTCTCTGGACCCGTTTGCGTCATGCCAGTATTCCGTGCGCCTCGTCCCTGCACGTGTCTTCTCCACTCTCGCCTCTTCTCCACCCTGTGCAAAAGCCAGATTTCCCCGTGGGCTCGATCGGTGGGAAGAAATGCCTGTCCTTGCGCTTACCTCATGGGCAGGGCCTAGTGCAAGCATGGGTCCGCCTGCGCACCCAAAGCAGGGAGTGGCGCAACTCCCTTTGATTGGGAACCACCTTCGCCACCACCCGTGGAGCTGGTCTCGCCCGCTCTCCGGATGTCAGCAGTCTCGAATGGTTTCGCAAGGGTGTGCCACCGCTTGTTCTATGAATACCAGGCTGGGGTCTCAGCAAGGTTTGCCAGGACCCTGGCACCATGCGACCCCGAGACAGGAGAGCCCGTGAAGGCCGTGGCTTACGCCCCCCCCTCCTCCTCTTCCTCCTCCTCCTCCTCCTCCTCCTCCTGCTCTTTCTCCTCCTTGGGAGGGGATGGGGAGTAATAGTGATGATGATGATGATGATGATGATGATGATGATGATGATGATGATGATGATGATGATGATGGTGATGGTGATGATGATGAGGATGAGGATGAGGATGAGGATGAGGATGAGGAGGAGGAGGAGGAGGAGGAGGAGGAGGAGGAGGAGGAGGAGGAGGATAAGGAGGAGGAGGAGGCGGAGGAAGAGTATGTGGAGAACTTGGCATCTCTCGGACGTGGGCAATTTTACTCGGCGAGGACTATCGGGGAGCATCTTGGACCATCTGGCAAATTAGCCTGGCGAAGGACCCAACCATATGCAGTTGTGAGTACCGCAATTATGAATATTGTTTTCGGTGGAGCTCTCTATGGTGCCACGAACCGTGTGAGGGGTGTGCCGAAATGAGTCGCGGGGACGCATGTCAATCCTGCCACTGGGGCCTTAGGTGGAGCTCCCTATGGTGCCACGAACAGTGTGAGGGGTGTGCCGGAATGAGTCGCGGGGACCCATGTGAACCCTGCCATTGGGGCCTTCGGTGGAGTTGCCTATGGGGCCACGAACCTTGTGAGGGGTGTGCCGAAATGGAGGCGGCTGTGCTATGCGACCTTGGCACTGGGGCCTTCGGTAGAGGTTCCCATGGGGCCACGAAACGTGTGAGGGGTGTGCCGAAATGGACATGCAAAGAACAGAGGCACGACGCTGACGATGGCGATGTTGATGACGCCAATGATGGCGATGGTGACCGCGATGAAGATCACGATACTGATGGTGATGACGGCATACGGAGAGGAGAGGCGGGGATGGGAGGAGGGAGGAGGCGGAGGAAGGAGGCGGGAGGAGGAGAACGCGGGGCGCTGTCTTTTCAAAACGAGGACCCAACACCACAGGACGGTCGGGAACAGAAGCGACGCACGAAACCAAAACATGCACTGGGAATAGACGTCCAACCGATGGCGAGAGAAGGAGCAGCCGCAGGAGGAGCAACAGGAGCAGCAGGGAGCAGCAGCAGCATGAGCAGGAAGGGGCCCTGGGCGAGCTCGCCGCAGACCCTCCAGGCAGGGGCGGAGGCACCGCGCCGCTGGCTCTGCGCCGCCCTAGCACGCCGGCCACCCTGGCGAGCGTCCGCAGCCCGCAGAGGAGCACGTCGGCGGCTTCACGGTCATGCTCGAGAGCGAGGCCTCTTGGGGGGGGGGTGCGGGGGGCAAGGCCTGATTCGTCGACGACACCAGTTTGGGGGGCCCGCCAGCTTCGACACTCCCTCTCGGGAGATCGTCGACGCGATGGATTCCCCCCCAAGGCCCCAGGGGGGGGGGTAAGGAGCACAGCTCCCCCGACGCTGTGATCTTCCCCATCCTGGCGTGGTTGCTCGCTTTCGGCCTCTGCGGCCCGTCGTCGGGCCCATGGGGCCCTCATAAACGGACCCAGGACGGGGTCGAGTCCTCATTGGGGACCGCGCGCGGGAAAAAATCCACGCTGGGAGAGGCGCAGCCTGGAGTCGGAGGCGCACCCAGAATCAAGGGCGGATGTTTCTGGACGGTTTTGGCCGTCGGGGACAGGAACACGACTATCATATTACGTTTACAAGCGCCACCCCGCACAGACTACGGGACATTCTTCGGGACCGGCTTGCGAGCATAAGGCGGTCTGCAATTTTCTGTTTCGGGCGTTGGTCCGCATGTCTGGGTATGTGCGGCTCCCATCCATGGGCTTCCAGATGCTTCTGGAGACCAGCATAAACCTCGAGAATCTGAAGACCTCGGGGGCGAGAAGGGAGTTCGACATCGATGTCAGCCGGCCAAAATACACCTCACGCTGAGATCCCCACGCAACCCAAACGGTTCAGAGCTTGTTTGACAGCTGCGAAGATAGAGCGCGCGGTGAATCGCCCGCAATCGTGGGGAAAAACCCGCGAGGTCAATCATGTCTTCGCTTGCCAGGATTGTTCGTACACGTGTGCCTCCTGGCAGCAGCTGGCAATCCATGGTTTCAACGTGCATGGTGTCCGGCGCCGCACACGTGAGCACATTGATGGGGTGCATTGCCTCGTGTGTACGCAGTGTTTTCACACCCGCGCGAGAGTCATTACGCATCTTGAAGAGCGTTCGGAGAGGTGTCGCGCTGTCGTCCTGCAGTGCATACCACGATTGCCAGGTGTCGTCGTGGCGGATCACGAAAGGCGGGGCGCGGAGGCCCTCAGAGGAGCTTGCAAGGAAAGGCCACAGACCGTGCCACGCGGACGCCCCCGCCTGTCGTTTTTTTTTCATTAAAAAAACCAGGGAGGCATACGAAGCTGGCTTCAGCCACAGGTCCCCCCTCCATTCTGCCTCCTTCGAGTGATGCTGGGTCGAGGCGCCTCCAGAGGAGCGACGCCATAATTTCTGCACTGTCCCACACGTGCCCCCTATCGGGAGCGCGACATCCTCCACAGACGGACACGCTCCAAGCAGCGCGGACTGAGCGAACGATTAGGGAGGGGAAGGAGGGAGGGGCCTGAGTACACGCAAGATGCATCGACGATTCTGCAATATTTCCGCCGTCCCAAGCCTCATCCTCATGAATCCCTACAAGCGTGTCTCGTCACTGAACAAATCGCCGCCTTGATGAAAGACGAGCGCCCCATGGGCCTGCCACGAAGGCGAGAGCCCCGTTTGAAAAAAAGTTGCAGCGCATCCTCCTACCGTCCCAAGGGTATTTGTCTTAACGCGACACCGCTGCCCCGAACATGCTCGCAAGACAAAAATATGCTGTTTCACACTGGCCGCATGCTGCTGCGCCCCAGCCGCACACATCCTGAGTCGGCCTAGCCGCAGAATTCTATTGCTGTTTAGAAGAACCCGCGGATAGGCCACAACAGCGGGGGCCGCGTGCGAGCCCGACACAATGAATCGCCCGACGGCAGTATCGATCAAAATCGCTAACGTTTGAACAAGACCCATTGCGGGAGGGCCTTCGGGTCATTCTCTGCTTTTGCCGATTGTAACGCAAGTCTGTGGATGGAGTTTGGTTCGGGGCGTTTCGCTTGAGACGTCCTCAGAAATCTAGACGCTTCGCGTAACCCGACCAGCCCCTACCGCTCCCTGTCCGCCGCCTCGGAGCCGCCGACCAAAACAAGTAACCCGACCAACCCATCCAGAAACGATGCCCAGGCGAGTTGCCCTGATCAGGGATGTGGAGGGGCACGCAAATGAACATAGAGGGCTGGGGAAGCCGCTGTACATCAAGAGAAGGGGGGGTGCAGGAATAATCGGACGACCAACACCAAGAGGATGAGGGAGGAGGAGGGAGGAGGAGGAGGAGGAGGAGGAGGAGGAGGATGAGGAGGAGGAGGAGGAGGAGGAGGAGAGGAGGAGGAGGAGGAGGGAGAGAGCAGGAGCAGGAACAGAGGAGCAGGAGCAGGAGCAGGAGCAGGAGCAGCATCAAGAGGAGCAGGAGGAGCAGGAGCAGGGGAGGAGCAGGAGGGGAGAGCAGGAGCAGAGCAGGAGCAGAGAGCAGGAGCAGGAGCAGGAGCAGAGCAGGAGCAGGAGCAGGAGCAGGAGGAGCAGGAGCAGCAGGAGCCAGGAGCAGGAGCAGGAGCAGGAGCAGAGCAGGAGCAGGGCAGGAGCAGGAGCAGGAGCAGGAGCAGAGAGCAGGGAGCAGGAGCAGGAGGAGCAGGAGCAGGAGCAGAGCAGGAGCAGGAGCAGGAGCAGGAGAGGAGGAGAGGAGGAGGAGGAGGAGGAGAGGAGGAGAGGAGGAGGAGGAGGAGAGGAGGAGGAGGAGGAGGAGGAGGAGGAGGAGGAGGAGGAGGAGGAGGGGGGGGAGGAGGAGGAGGAGGAGGAGGAGGAGGAGGAGGAGGAGGAGGCGGAGGGAGGAGGAGGAGGAGGAGGAGGAGGAGGAGGGAGGAGGAGGGGGAGGAGGAGGCGGAGGGGGAGGGGGAGGGGGGGGAGGGAGAGGGAGGGGGAGGGGAGGGGGGAGGAGGAGGAGGAGGAGGAGGAGGAGGAGGAGGAGGAGGAGGAGGAAGAAACATATCAAGAACAATAAAATGAAGAAGCAGGAGAAAAAGAGAGAGCAGAATAAGCAGAAGCAGAAGCAGAAGCAGAAGCAGACGACAGATAATACTGATAAAGGTAAGGAGAATGATAATACGTAGACGAAGAAGAAGAAGGACAATAATACTAATACCAATCATCAGAATAATCATACTACTAATCATACTGCTAATAATAATACTAGTAAGAGGAAAACGACGAAAACGAACAATAATGATAATACGCGTACTAAGAAAAACAAGAAGAACACCACGAATATTAATAATACTGATAATGAGGATATAAGAAGAATAATAAGAAGCATACGCATAATAAAAATACTAGGAATACTAATATCAACCATAATATGAATGATGATAATAATACTTACAATAAGAAGAGTAATGACAATAAGAATAAGAAGACAACTACTAATAAGAATAATACTAGCAATACTAAGAAGAAGACGAATACTAATAATACGAATAACAAGAATAATAAGAATAATAATAAGAAGAAGAAGAGGAGGAGGAGGAGGAGGAGGAGGAGGAGGAAGAGGAGGAGGAGGAGGAGGGGGGGAGGGAGGAGGGAGGAGGGAGGAGGGAGGAACACCAACAGGCGGGTGAGGATGAGGATGAGGATGAGGATGAGGATGATGATGATGATGATGATGAGATGATGATGATGATGATGATGATGATTGATGATGATGATGATGATGATGATGATGATGATGATGATGATGATGATGATGATGATGATATGATGATGATGATTGTGATGGTGATGGTGATGGATGATGATGATGATGATGATGATGAGGAGGAGAGGATAGGAGGAGAGGAGGAGGAGGAGGAGAGGAGGACAATGGCTCCGTATGATTAGCCGTGTGCTCCCAGTAAGGTATCTAGTGTGTTTCCCCGTATGTTCAGAACGCTTTTGTGTATCTATATAGTGTTTGGAGAATTGTGCCACCAGGGTGTAATGCGACAGTCGTTGTTTTGATGATTCGGATATGGCCCAGAGAACGGAGGGCAAGGCCGAGGAGGAGGGAGGAGGAGGAGGAGGAGGAGGAGGGAGGAGGCGAGGGGGAGGAGGAGGGGGAGGGGGAGGGGGAGGAGGACGAGGATGGGAACGAACAGGACAGAAAGACGACGAGGAGGATGGTGATACGGAGGAGGATTGGGGAGGGAGGGAGGAGGAAGAGGAGGAGGACAAGAAAGAGAAATTTCATGTATTCCTCCTCCCCCCCCCACCACTCATTTCGCTCCCTCCCCGCCGTCCCTCCTCTCCCTCGCCCTTCCGCCTCCCTCGCCGCCATCAGCGCCCTCCCGCCGTCTCCTCCAGTTCCTCCCCCTCCCCTCCCCGTTCTGAGCAAGATCCCCGCCGCTCGTCGCAGGTAACGCCGCCCCCGCGCGCGCGCGCCGGGCGCAGGGCGTGCCGCAGGCGCCGCTGGATTTCAGGGGATCAGAGGAGGACCGGCCCCGCCAGCATTCGCCCCGCCCCCACTCCGGGTGGCGTCGCCCAGTCCATTGTTCTGTCGTTTTTTTAATTGTGTTGTTTCTCTCAGTTCCCTACCTAGGCTCTGCCTAGAAGGGTTCTTACTCGGTATGCTTAAAGGGCCGGGCAGTGTTCCTCGCCCTGGGCGGTTCCCCCGGCATCCGCTCCGCGGTTCCCCCAGTGACGTCCCCTTAGCTTAGCGTTGCTTATCTAATCTTAGCTCAGCCATGATTAGCTTAACTTAGCTTAGCTTAGCCTAGCCTTGCCTAGCTTATCTTAGCTTAGCCTAGCCTGGCCTAGCCTAGCTTAGCTTAGCTTAGCTTAGCTCAGCTTAGCTTAGCTTAGCATAGCGCAGCATTAGCATAGCACAGCGCAGCATAGTATAGCATAGCATAGCATCGCATAGGGCAGCATAGCATAGCGCAGCATATCATAGCATAGCATAGCATAGTATAGCATGGCCTAGCTTAGCTTAGCATAGCACAGCGCAGCATAGCATCGCATAGCATAGCATAACATAGCATATCATAGCATAGCGCAGCATAACATAGCATAGCGCAGCATAGCATATCATAGCATAGCATAGCATAGCATAGCGAAGCATAGCATAACTCAGCATAGCATAGCATAGACTAGCATAGCGTAGCATAGCATAGCACAGCGCAGCATATCATAGCATAGCATAGCCGAGCATAACATAGCGCAGCCTAGCATACCCTAGCATAGCATAGCATAGCATAGCGCAGCATAGCGCAGCATAGCGCAGCATAACATAGCACATCATATCATATCATAGCGCAGCATAGCATATCATGTCATGTCATAGCATAGCATAGCTGTAGGTACTAAGCTGTACTAGTATTACGACCACTACTACTACTACTACTACTACTACTACTACTACTACTACTACTACTACTACTACTACTACTACTACTACTACTACTACTACTACTACTACTACTACTACTACTACTACTACTACTACTACTACTACTACTACTACTACTACTACTACTACTACTACTACTACTACTACTATACTACTACTACTACTACTACTACTACTACTACTACTACTACTACTACTACTACTACTACTACTACTACTACTACTACGACTACTACTACTACTACTACTACTACTACTACTACTACTACTACTACTACTACTACTACTACTACTACTACTACTACGACTACTACTAGTACTACTACTAGTACTACTACTACTACTTCTACTACTACTACTACTACTACTACTACTACTACTACTACTACTACTACTACTACTACTACTACTACTACTACCGCTACTGCTACAACTGCGACGATGAGGAGAAGGAGGACGGAGTTTACCGTTACTACTAAGATTGCTCTCCTCGGGGCTCCAATTCCTAGGTAGGGTCGCTCTGGGATAATCTCTCTTTCTCTGTTCTCTCTCTCTCTCTTTCCCTTCCCTCTACCTCTATCCCCTCTCTCTCTTTTTTATGAGGAGCGTGATGGACACATCATTCGTAAGAGCAAGGCACACGATCACATACGAGTAGCCATAGTGATATGTAATCTTGATGATTAACAGAATGTGATGGACGATATCGCGAAACCACAGACGTATGTTTCGACTGGTGATCGTACCTTCTGCACATGCGACCGGTAATACGACTAGCAATGGTATTACGACGAAGAACAATCATATGAAGCTCAGGCTTGCGAGAAAAAATAGCCTGACAAAGGATCAGTCGTTTTAGGCGCCCCCCCGGGCCCTTGTAGCCCCCACAGCGACACGACCGTAGTTGTGCGTGTTGGCTCTATCAGGAAAAAGTCAGCATCCCGCCCGCCGCGCGCACGCGCCCTCCCTGGGCGCACCTTCCCGGCCGGCCAGCCTTCCCTTGTCCATAGCGCCAACCAAAGCTTAAAGGACATCTGCCTCACACTCATGGCGTACAGGGTTACATCCCCTACTTCACTAGCACCGAGGGTAAACCTGAGCAAGAGGCTTCAAGTAGATGATGAAGAACTACTTATCAATACGGTCAAACATATGCCAGTGTCATCAAAAGGCTGGCAACATATTGGTTATCAGCCGAAAAAGTTCTGTCTTCGACGGAAATTGTTCTACCTGATGGAGGAACTATGTTTCTTCCATCGAAAGGTGTTGTACGTCTTGAAGAAGGATCGCGCCATGAAAACATGAGTGTGGATGTTCTTGGATCCGACTCCGCCGGCGATGTCGGGGAATCGAGCCAACGCCCTCCGAAGATGATCTCATGGAATCTCTCATGCATCGACGAGCCTCGTCCAAGTGCGCCGAGACCCGAGAAGAATAACATCTCCCACCAAGGACATGACGGAGATGAAGGTGCAGACCTCGTCCCTCTCGACGACCGCACGAACGCTTCCGAGCACCCTTCGAGCGACGACCACGACGCGGATACCATATCATCTGGGGAGAATTTCTCACGCGTCACCGCCCCGCTGGGCGATATTGCGCAACGTGGCGAGCAGGTGTCTCCCACGCGTGGCGAAGATGCGGTGATCCCATCATATGATTCTCTGGACTGGCTGGAGCGGCACATGGGGGACATTATGGATGACGAGTTCATGGGCGGCACTGCTCGCTCGGCGAACAAGCAGAGACGATAACCTACTAGACTTCCAGTTACATTGCTCCTTGGAATGCGAAGCAGGTCCGGCGATATCCCCGGAGCAGTACCCAATGCTTGTTCTGGGGGGAATCCCGGGAGCTACTCCCCTCGGTCCCCCAGGCGCCCGCCCTCCACGCAAGACAAGCTCTGAAAGAGGCAGACCCAGGGCCCTGAGGCCGCGATCAGAGGTATCGGACTTGTTTGACCTGTCGAGAAAGTCGAGCAATTTCAACGTGCGGATTAACGCCAAGTGTGCCAACTTTGGCCCTGGGCGTGCCGACGTGCTTGAGTCGCGGTGCCCTGGCGTATCGGGTCAGTGTAAAAGCCGGTTTGTTTTGGATGCTCCAACAGTTGCGATCTCTGCAACTTCGACTTCTTTTGCCAGACTTGCACGCCCCTCCGGTTCACATAATTGCGTTGGATTACGGGTCAATGACTGGCAAGAGTCCGAGGCAAGGACGGTCCGCGAATTGCGTTTCCCGCCCCTGTGCGTTTGCTTCCTCCTTGGAGGGCCCAGGCGGACAGGACGCGGCTCCTGCGCGGCATGATGCCTCCACTGACGCGGCGGCAGCCCCAGCAGCCGCTGCTTCCATGAAGCGCCCGGTAGGGATTTGCTCGCTCTGGCATTTTGTGTCGAAGTATGCCCGTGCAGCGCTTGAGGAATGAGGAGGAGGAGGAGGAGGAGGAGGAGGAGGAGGAGGAGGAGGAGGAGGAGGAGGAGGAGGAGGAGGAGGAGGAGGAGGAGGAGGAGGAGGAGGAGAGGAGAGGGAGGGAGAGAGAGAGAGGAGAGGAGAGGAGAGGAGAGGAGATTGAGGAGGGTGAAAATACGACGGCGGCGGCGTCGTATGGGCTGCAGGGTCTCCACTTTGAGATTTGTCGAACTAGCATGAGTTTTGGGAGCTCCGCTCGTTTTTTTTGAATCGACGCTGGGCCCTGGCCGCTCCTCTGGCGACGCCACTGGCGCGCTCCGCCCGCCAAGGACGGGGGTCCACCGACGATCCAAGAAGCTCGCGCGAGCCTCCGAACATGTTACACACACAAACACACACACACACACACACACACACACACACACACACACACACACACACACACACACACACACACACACACACACATATATATATATATATATATATATATATATATATATATATAGATACATATATATATATATATAATACACATGCTAGCGTGGACCCGATGATTAAATCCACGGAGCTGCGTGAGTCGAGGTTTGCCGACGCGCGCGCCTGTCTCCGGCGCGCAAATGCCAGCAAATTGTGGTATGCGATCGACAACCAACGTGGAATCAATGCTTTTCGCCTCTTCAAGCCTTTTTGGGGGTCCTCCTGGGGCTGTTTTGTGGCGCGTGAGGCCCTCTGGGGCCGTCTTCACAGCATCTAGGGCCGTCTGGGGGTCCTCGTGGGCAGGCTCGGGGCCCTCTTGGCCTGTCTTGGGTGCCTTTTGGGAGCTTGTTGGGCCGTCTTGGGGGCCTCATGGGGGTCTATTGGGCCGTTTTGGGGGCCTCTCGGGCCCCCCTTGGGCCCCTCCGGGGCTGTCTCGGGGCTTTCTTGGGCTCCTCTTGGGCCGTCTCGGGGCGATCCTGGAGGCCTCTTGGGCTGTATTGGGGGTCCACTCTGCTGAGAGCGCGAGAATCTCAGAATCCGTAGGAAACCCGTGGAAAAATCTACGATTTCGGGCTCTTGGGGAACTCACTCTAGGGTGTCCCTTCGGAGCCGTCCTGGGACGTCTTGGTGGCCTATGGGGCCGTCTTGGGAGCACCTTAGGCCGTCTGAGGGCGGTCTTGGGCCATCTCGGGGCTGTCTCTGGTCGCCTCGGGGCCTCCCTGGGCCGTCTCGGGGCTCTTCCGGGGAGCTCCAGTACCGTTTCGGGGCCCTCCGGGCGCCCTCCGGTGCCGTTTCGGGCTCTTTGGGGGGCTCGAGGAGCCGGGGCCCCCCTCCAACCCACCAGGCTCCTCACAGATCTATTGGAATGGACATATCTATACATTTACATCGTTGATTCGCTGTTTTTCTTCTGATGTGATGTAGAAGCTCTCGTCTCTTCGTCTTCTGATCCAAGGGATCCTTCTCCAACTGGTTCCGTGTATTGATGTCATTATTCTGACCTCTGAGCAGACGGTGTTCCTGAACCCCCTTACGGGTGTTGCGAGTTTCGGCACCCTTGTTTGAGATCTCCCACACAATATATTGTCTTTGGGGGCTCAAGAGAAACTTCCCCAGTTGTGGCTGGTCGGGCCAGTTCAGCCATCCCCCTGCACATTCTCATCATTCCCGGTGGCGACGAGGCAGGATGGGGTGGGAGACTGTGCTCTCTGATCGATCTTCCGTTGATCGACATTCACGATGGGGGTTCACGCTCGTGCTTATTTACCGTCTAGTGCATCTGTGCCTTCTCTGATGCCCCATCGCGGGTGTTGTCTTTCGTTCGCGCAGATATGGCAGTCACGGTGAGCCGTGTGACATCTCAGCTGGAAGGACTATTGTCTCCTCGCACGCTTCTCCAATATGTGCGCCGCTCCTGCACACTCTGAGGAGGTGGCCAAGTGGTACCCTGTTTTGCGCAAGCAGCTCAAGTCATCGCTGGTGGCCGTTTTCTTGTGATTGCATTCATGCTTATGTTTGTTGCTGGTGTTGTGGACGTGTGTGATCAGTGTGCGCTCGAAGGCGTTGCGTTGTCGACTGAGAGTTGTCTAGCGCCGTCCTGTTTGCACACTTTGCCATTCGCTATCCCGCTGTCGTAGAGATCGCGGTCTCCATGCTTCCTTGCGTCGGCGAAGACCTCAATGATGATGATGGTGATGGCGGCATGGTTGTAATGGTGCCGATGAGAACGGCTTGGTGGATAACCATGGCGATATTGAGATAGTGTTTGCAAATGGTCGTATTGGTGACGATGGAGGAAAGGAGGACAGATGTGATGGAATTGACGACCACCGTAGTATGACAGTGCCACTTCGAATTATGGTTATTCAAGTGGCTTACGCCATTCCGCGGACCCCCAGAAGAGAAACGAAGTCCACGGCTGAGGCATTTTGCCTCTTGAGAATCGTTTGAGAGACCAATTGGGGCATCTTATCGGCCTCTTTGGAGCCGCTTCTCCTCCCCCGTTTCACCCTTCTCCCCATTCTCTTCCTCCTCCTCATTCTGGTCCTCGTCCTTCTCCCCCCGCCTCCTTGGAGTCGAAAGTGCGCAAGACGTTTTTGCAGACTAAGTCGAAGCAGCTTGCTTGCGGGACGCTTTCGTTCAGCCTCTCCCAAAGGCCTGCGGGGTGATCTCGTCCCTTTCTCTTCACTGCGCTGTGGAAAAAGGAGGCCTCTTGGAGCCGCTGGGAGGACTGTTGAGCGCCTGCTGGCGGTCTCGGGGGTCCTCTTGGTGCGGAGGGCTCGAAATGGCAGTTCGAGTTCCCCCTCTTGGGCCCTTCTTGAGGCTCGTTCAGTGCCCTTTGGGGCCGTCTTGGACGCCTCTTGTGCCGTTCTGGGGCACCCTTGGGCCGTCTTAGAGGCCTCTTGGGGACCTCTTGGGCCTTCCTGGAGCGATCTTGGGGGCTTATTGGGCCGGTTTGGACGCTGTTGAAACCAAGAGGGTGAAGATGCAACAAATATAAGTTCCCCATCGGAATTGAAGCGAATTGGGCCTCTTGGGCCTCTCTTGGGGCTCCTTTTGGAGCTATCTGGGGGCGTCTTGCAGGCTTCTTGGGCCGTGCTGAGGCTATCTTGATAGTTTTTGAGGCCTCCTCGGCGTGTTGGAGGCCAGCTTGAGCAAGGCTGAATGAAATCTTGGGCATCTTGAAGGCCACGGAGTGTAGAATTGGAGGCTCCAGATGCCCCGGGGAGGCGTTGACGAGCCCAGGGAGCCCACCCGGGTCCCCTCCCAGGGGCATCCCCTCTAATCGGATTTCACACTTCAGGGCAGGGGGAAAGGGGGAGGGGGACAGCCAATCATCTGCAAGCGGGGGTCGGCGGATATAGGATGATGAGCAGGGTGACCAAGGAATCGGGCGGATGGTTGCACCCACAGCGGCGTTCTTCTGATACTTCCCTCTTCGACTCTCCACATCCCCACCTCCACCCCGTCTCTTTTCTCGCCCACTCCACCCCCCTCTCCAATTGTTCCTCCTCCTGGGAAGTACCTCGTGCTTTGCCTTGGTATTGTGCCTTGTTCCTCAGTGTCTTCTTACTGTAGTTCAGTATCTTCGTATACCGTACACCGTACCTCAGTATCTTCTAGATGCGCTCTGCGAGCGCGGGCTGAGCCATAGGAAGGGGGCGCACTAGCTTCGGCCTTATCACCCGGGCATCTTCGGTTTCGGTTTGACATACCCTTATTCAGCTCGTCCGAGTGGTGTTTGGAAGTCCCTAATCCTCCCACTGCCCCCGTCCTGTTCCTTATCATCCCACCCCTCCTTTCATCATCGTCCCCCCTCCTGCTCCCTCTGCTCCTTCTTCCCTCCTCTCCCTCGGACACGTTGCGAACCTTGCTGACGCCACGACGATATCGTGCTACGCTTGCTGGCTGTCGTCTCGCGGCTCGCTTTGGAGCAAGCACTCGAAATCCATGGACTGCGGGCCGCCACTTTCCGCGCCATCCTTATGCAGGTGATGGCTCTGGCAGCGCAGGCCACGAAATCTGCAACACAGCAGTTTGCCGAGGAATCCCGCGGCGCCGCCGCGGGGAAAGGAGCGGCGCCGGCGGACGATCCGGGGGGGCCGCCACCGGGGGGCCGCCGCCGGAGCCGCCGCCGGAGCCGCCCAGGGCGCCACCCCCAGGCAAGTCCAGCATTTCCGGGGAAATTCCTGGATTTCCTTGCCGGTGCGCCGGCGTCGTGTGCGCGGAGGGCTGTGGCCTCGCCCAGCGCGGCGTTCGCTGCCCAGTCGGCGCCGGCGGCGCAGCCCGCGCGGAGCACCATGGACGGGGAGCTTGACCAGTTCGCCGACCTCGATGCGGGCAGCCAGGGCTTCGTGCTGCCCGACTACACGCAGCCGCACACCCTCCAGGTCTCGGAGTGGGCCGGTGTATGGCGGAACTGCCCACCCCCGACGTCGAGTGGCGCGCCGCCGCCGCCGCCTGCTGCTGGCGCGAAGGCGGAGAGCTCGCCACAGCCCTCCCGCGGCTACCTCGTCATGGCGGTGGAGCTCCTGGAGGCTGCGGCGGCTCGGACTTGCAAAGAGTATCTCATGGGCCTGCGTCGGTGCGCACCGCGCTGGCGCGAGGCCCTCCGACAGGACCTCCAGCGGGGTGCGCCGATGTTGCACCGCTGGTCCAAGGGGCCCGCGGACCCTGCTCCCGAGCTTGCGGACCCCTCGGCGCAGCTTCACGACCGCTGCACCGACCCGCTTCTGGTGCTGGTCGAGCACCACGGGGACTGGAACGCGTGTTGGAAGACCCTGGATGTGGACAAAGTCGCGTCGGCCACCCTGGCCGTGCAGTACGCCCTGGACGTCATGGTCGACGCGCAGTGCGGCACGGCAGCCGACTACTTCGTCACCGGCGCCGTGGTGGGGCGCGCCGCGGCCAGTTTCAATGCGGCCACGTGCACGCCTGGAGGGGTGCACACGCGGCACCTCGGCTGGCAGGACTCCTTCGAGGGCGCCGCGGGGTTCCTGAACGCGATCACCGTCACGGGCTTGGCCCCTTCGGCGGAGCAGGAATTGCTGTCGGTGCAGTGCCTCGGGCCGCTGGGCGGGGGCAGGGGGCCGATCGGCTAGTTCGGGGTCCTGCGTGGGCTGTGGGGCGGGTGTCAGCGCGGACGCTTCCGCAGCTGGCAGTCCAGGCTGCAGGACCTGGGCCTCGTCAGCACTGGCGAGGGGAGGAAGGTCTCGGACTGCGTCTAGAGGGCGGCGATGCGGGCGGAGAGCGCCGCGGAGCAGAGCCGCCATTTCGTGGTCTTGCTCTGGGACCTCGCGGATGCCTCCGAGAAGGTCCCGCACAGCAAGCTGGTCGGGCTGGCGGCCCGCGCTGGTTTCCCCGCCCACCTGCTGCGAACACGTTCCGCTGGAAGCGCTTCGTTACCATGGACGGGCTCGTCGCCGAGCCAATCTACCCCGACGGGGGGGTGGTGGCGGGCCGCTTCTCCGCCGCGCACTGCCTGGCGGCCTACCTCATCGAGGACCTCCGCCAGCAGCAGCTCGAGCACGTCGGCGTCGTGCTGCTGGCGCGCGTCGACGACATCAGCCAGGAAGTCGTCGGGGGCTCGATCCAGGAGGTCCTCGCCACCCTGGTGGACGGGGCCCGCGACGACCTGGACGCGACGTTGGCGGCGGCCAGGGGCACACTCCTGGGCAGCTCGAACGAGGTAACCTCGGCCGCCCAGCTTGCGCTCCGGAGCCTTGGGCTGCCTTGGGCCGCCAGGCCAGGCGCGCGGCGCAGGCTGCGCGGCGCCGTCCACGCCTCGGCGCGGCACTTCGGCGCGGGCCGCTCGGCAGGCCGGGCGTTGCCCATCGCGTTGGGCCCGTTCGGCAGCGGCGGATCGAGGCCAGCAGGCGCCGTTTGTGCGAGGCCTTGCGGGCCGTCGAGCAGGTGGCGGGCTGCGTGCGCATATTTCCGCCATCGTGCTTCTGTCGTCTGGGAAGGCGAGGTCTCGGGCTTCTCGCCGCGGGAGCTCGGGGGCCCGAGGCGAGGGCAAAGGCGCTGGCTGGCCATCCCTTCATAGCTTCAGATACCCAGGAGGCAGCGCTGTCAGGCCAGTTTGAAACCGGGGCGCGCGACGGCGCTTACCGTCGAGAGGTACGCCGAGTGGCGGCGAGCCTCGGACGTGCCCCAACGCAGCAGGCGCGCCCCCAGCCTCCCCGAGCGCGGGGCGTACGAGGTGGCGGCGATTAGCTTCGACGGGAAGCGCGGCGAGGCGGGCCCTGCTGGGGCCATGCTCCGCAGCCCCCACTGGGCAGGGCGGGCGCCCACTTCAGTGACTACGTTTCATGCGCGACGTGCTGGCTCAGATCGAGTTTCGGGTCGAACGCCGCTTCAACTTCGGCGCCGACTTCGATGGCGTCTGGTAGGGGGGGCGCCCAGGCGGCCCTCAAGGGGAGTTGCTGCAGCGCCCTGGAGCGCCACGTGATCGTCTTGTTGTTGGGCGACGCGTGTTTGACGGGCGAGAGGGCCCGCGACCTTGGCCACCTGGTGGACGGCGCGTGCGCGACCTGCGGGGTGCCAGACACTGTCGCCCATCGCGTCGGCTGCTGCCCGCGTATCGCGGCGGGCCGGGCGGCGGAGACCGGCTGGCCTGGCGATCTTGAGGCTGGCCGCTCGCTCTGTGACGCGTTTTTGCTGGGCCCGCGCCTGCCCGCGCGTCCGCCGCGGCTGCCAGAGCCGCCTCGTTGAGACATGCGCGCTTTCATCGGGGGGCGCGAGGTGCCAGTCAATGATGTGTTTCTGCCAGGCGAGGAGAGCGGGGGTCGGGTCTTGCCCCGCCTCTCTTCGTACCTCCTTCGTGCGGGCGGGTTGGGGCATCGTCCTGTGGGATGCTGCGCAGAGCGCCCTGCGTATGATCATCGGCTCGATCCCTGCCAGGGCGCCGCAGTCCGCCGTCTCCGCCGAGCGCCGGCGCTTTTTCGCGGGCGCCGAAATTTCGGACGGCACGCGCGCGC